TGGAATCCGAGACACAGTCGGAAGATGAGTGGAACGACGTCTGTCTGGACATTACCAAAGCATACGACAAGGTTGCTCTCCCGCGCCTGTAGGTACTCTTGAGCCACGCTGCAGTGCCCGAGAGCTGGATCAACTGCCTCCGCGCGCTATCTGAGAGGGTCCCTACTCGAGTGACATACCGCGGCATGCTCTCGCATCTACTTCATAGAACAAATGGCATCCTACAAGGCTCAATCGTTGGCCCCAGCTCTTTATTATCTACATGGATTCTTTGGCTGTCACACTAGCACAATTCCGGCCCAAGCTCCCCCGCTTTTATTTATTTGTCGACGATACACGGATCCAAGCCCCCCAACCGGTTCCGCTCCAGCCCTTTTTTGACGACATTGATGCTTGGGGCCGCAAATCTGGCCTTAAACAGGGTGTCATCAAACCCCGAGTACGATCTATCAACTTGCAACACGCGGTGCCAACCCTCGGTATAAATGATGAGCTTATCACGCCGACACTTGCAGATGCCCCTTGGAACACATGTCACCTACCCCTGAAGATGGCTCCCACACATGTCTAGCCTAAACTCTCTAAATACCTAGGTTTCCCACTCTCCCACGGAATACCAGGGATAAATCTTGCCAAACAAATGGAATCCCTGGTTATAGCATTGTCTCTGGGTATCGCCTCCTTCCGCGCTTATGCTTTCTATGGCTTCAGCTGGCGACACCCCCGCAACAGGCTGGTGTTATTCAAAACATTCATCTTATCCCCGGCTACATATGGCCTGAACATTATTGCCTGGCTTCCACCTATATGGAAGGATACGCTGGACCCCTTGTTTGAGCGCTATAACGCAGCACTCATTCGAGCAGCTGCCATCATCACGGCCACCAAATACCCTAGGTTTCCCAAACATCAAACCAACTTACTTCATTTTTTGTGGTCTGCTCCCAACGCGAGAATTCGTGGACTACCTCGGAGGTTGCCTGGGACTGCAACTTGACTCAATGGCCAGCACAAACCCACTCACCCCTCTGACACAACCCGCCTGGGCCCACGACAAACCCTCACTGCGCTTCCTACAGTATATATGTCCACTTGAAGACTGTATACAAAAACCACGGACGGGCGTACACCAGACCATGTAACCCTCTGCCGACGATGTGACAACATTAGAAAGAACTCAATGAAACACTGGTCCAACAAGGAGATCGCGGCAATGGCCGGACGTCAATACTACTACCAATTGGTCATGGGCAAACCGCCAACCTCAGATCGGGACAAAGCCAGACACGACAGCTTCAACCGCTGCTTCGAGCCTACACCAATCCGGCTCTGTGCTATGATTATAACAAATACGTGCATGTTCACATTACTCGACTACCGCACTGACGGCTGTCTCTACCCTGTCTGCCCCGGTGGCCAAAAATTCACCACCAGCCACTTTGCCTGCATCCAGCAACTGATTCAATGCATTCTAGTAAGCCCAAAACTGCCTCTCATTGATCCTGATCTCCTCCAGCAACTACATGAGCGCCACGACTTCCATGGTATCTGGACCCTCCACGAGCACCTTTTGGATCTTTTCTCCAGCATGTAGAACACCCCCTGTACCCACACCCGTCTCTGACATATCAACAGATGTTTCCTATACCCTGGCTAATCACGCTGTTGAAGTACTACTTCCAAATTTTGGTCCAAACCATTTCATTGCGCCTGTTGGTTCCGCCTATGATACTTCCAATACAGGCAAACCCGCACATACCGAGTGCATCCGTCGTCTGGTGCGGCATCAGTTCACCCCCAACCTCGCTCCTCAACCGAATAATGACGGATAACCTGGTCCTACTTGGCATTTCGTACTCTGCACTAACCCATTCCACAGCACTACACGATAAAGACCCGATCCGAACCACAGACGCTATTTAATAGGTCAGAAAGCGAATACGTGGCACACTCGATGGTGTCAGCTTTTTTTCAGCACCGGCCTGAATTGCCCCAGCGCATATTCTCCATTGTCGACTCACTTTGGTCCAAGCTTCAACAGGAATTTTACTGACCTACTTCTTCCCATCGATCTTCTCCGAACCACTACAACGCTA